CTCACGAAAAATTGGGACCGGTCTGATGAAAGCAGAATGTTCGAGGTGCACGGCCATGCAATTCAGTGCAACGCCCCCTGTGACTGCGTTTCTCCTTGATCCACCTGATATCTGATTATCCAAATTAATAATCAACACAAGGCGTAACCCCAGTTATAATTGTTTATTACTATTGCTGTTGCTTAATCTCAGAGGAGAGTAATCTTTTGTCCAAATGCAATTATTGAAGCCTTCTCTTCCGGTACTCAAGTCATATTTTTGGCAGTCACACGTTTAAAACTGAAATTGCACCTGCATAATTGAGTCGTGCAGATATTTACGAGGTTTGAGCGTAGCAAAGAAGGATGGTGACGCATACTTTATGAATTTGCGGCAGTTTGTCTTGACCCATGTTGCTCACTATATTGTGAACTTGTGCCATCCTCTAGCCAATCATCGTTCTTATCTTTTGTGGGCAAAGCTTCTCTATCGCCGCCGGTTCATAGAACGGTTCCAAATGGACAGTTTCCATAATTCAAATTATTCCTTTTCACACAGTCCGTTTCTTGGAAATGTTGACGAAGAATATGACTGACCATTTTACGACTGCTGCATACGCTGCCTATCTACTGTCAAGAAGCGCTCTGCACCTTCTGGAAATGCGAGAATATCAAATTATCCCACTTTAATCCAATTCCCATTCCAAAGAAATCATGACGCTAAAGCTTTTCATCAACTTTTACTTAAATATATTTGGACGAAAGAATTAAGGATGAGACAAATTAATAAGTAATAACTCATGTTTTCTATGGCTTGAATACAGAATTAACTGAGTGCCACGCGCAGCAATCATCAGGAACGTCCCGCTCAGCTACTTAGTTGCGTAAATAGGAGACTTCTGCTGCTGCAATATCCGAAGGCTCTGAAATGCGTGCATTTTATGATATTAGCAAAACAAGGAATTACCGACGCTAGAACTTCAAAAGTCTGGATCGACGTATATATATATATGGGGTTATTCCGCATATAAAATTTATTGTGTAAAATTTCAAAGAGCGATATTGTGGACATACGATATTACAGAAATTGAATGTGTATTTAGGTACAAATTTCGCAATGAAAGTTTCAGCCTCGATTGTAAACTTGCATGATAACCTCGTTCCAATGCGAACTTAGTTCCGTACCGACGTCTGTATTCATACATT